GGGGGTTGCTATGAGTTCGAATAACTGGATGGTACCCAAGAACAACAAAGTTGGCTCTGTTAAAGAGCAGGACTCTAAAACAATGTTGCCACAGGCCAGGGCCTCTCGTTAAAACAGAGCTCCCTTAGTTCCTCCCCTCTCTTGTCATGGGGTCTAAGGAAGAGCATTTAGATAACTTATATACCTACAACAAATCCCCAGCTGAAATATAAAGCACTTATTGCAAAACCAGTTGGAAAAAATATATATATTACAGATGTTTTTCCATAAAACCATAGTATTATGATTAGCTTTGCCTCATGTTATAAACAGGTATTAGTGAGTAAAGGCTAGCTTCCCCTAGCCTCCTAATAAATGTTTGTTTGATCTTTACTTAAACTTAACTGCACTGCTTTTTTCTAATGAAAACACATGCTTGTAAACTTTTAAATTTGTCACAATAGATTGGGAAGCATATGGGTGTATGGGGGGGTCTCAAAAGTTGACATAGAAAGGTGTTGGTGTGAGGGAGGTGGTGCTGATGGAGTCCTTGGCATGTTGTTCGAGAGATGGAAGGACTGAAAGGATTCATAGAGAAAACTTCCTAGATCCAGGGAGAATTTTAAGGGAAAAGCAGTCGCCGTGTGTCCTCCAACTCCAGGTCTGGCAGGCTTTTCATGGGTCTTATACACATCTCGTGTGTTTTACATCAGAACTCACTTTCAGTAGCTTTAATGTGTTTGTCATCAACCCACTGTAGTTAAGGCTGGGGAGGTGTGCGTGTCCAGGGTCTCTCAACACAGGAGGGTCTCACCGCTGTGTGGGCCCACACATGCTGGGAAATACTGTGCCACTCTTCTGATGACACTACATGAGTTTGCTTCTTATGGCATTCAGAACACAGAAAAATACATTGTCTCCCATGAGTTATAATAGATGATGTCATCAACTGCTTGGACTTGTCCATTTCATCCAACAGACTAAGCCACTTAAGCCACTCAACTTCAAATGCATATTTATATATTTGGAGTTAAGGACAACCTAGAAACCAAAATTTGTTCAAACGTTTATTTAATAGAGTCTTTTGGAACATGTTTACTTCCCTTACAAATGAAACAGAAGAAACATGTATATTACAGCAATACTTCCCCCTCTGTCTCCATGAGAAGAACATGGTTCTACCTGCATGATAACAAAAATCTGGGTCTCTCATCAGTGAAGAACTTTTCTCCAAATGCCCAGTACACCTCAGAATACAATTTAAAAACAGGTATTTTAGCAAAAATTTGATTTGATTCTAATGGATTATTAAAATTTAGAAAAGGTTTTGACTCAAAATGCCTATAAACTAGGCAGTTTTTACAACTAGACCTTAAAGACATTATTGGGTCATCCCAATATCAAAGTGTATATCAAAGTGACCTTTAGGGATGGTAAAATATAACTATTATTTCTCTTAACATAGGACTAGTCCATGAAATAATAAAATTCAATTTCAACTTTCTACCAGGTACTGAAGCATAATTTAAGCAGGAATCAATTTTTTTTGCACCCATATGTAATTCCATTTTTAGTTTTAAATAAATGCAAACAATCCTCATTAAAGGATTTTAGGTACAACAGTGCAAAGTTTATAAACTCAAGCTTATAATTGTTTAATTCTCCCAAGTATAATATTTAATGCAGAATGTATGATCTTGCATGCTACTTACTTAGTTGATTTTCATATATTTTTAATGTTTCCTAAAAATTTTTGTTTTCTAGAATACTACACATGCATAGAACATCTTTATAATTATTGTCACTAATCTTTTTCTATAAAAATAGTTGCTGAAAACTTTATATCAATTTGCTTTTATTTTCTATAAATATTTTAAGTTGTTGAGTATCAGAATGTTGAATAGATTTCATTTAAATTCATGTAGTCAAAATACTAAAACGTCTAGCAAAAGTTTATCGTTTAATAAATGAAAAGTTTATCATTTATTAAGTGATATGTTCTGTCATTAACTATTTGTACCTTAGATAGGTGGATATAATCAGAGAAAGGCAAAGTATATAGCTCCTGTAAAGATCTGACTTCAAATGGCGTTGCAGTTTGTAGTATCTTTTGCATTTCATGTCTGTTGTTATGAGGAAATAGGTAGAATGAATTTCTGGATGTTGCGTTAGATGTCATGCAGCCAGCAGATAACAAATATTAGTTCAAAGCTTTGATACTCTAAATGCACTTATTTAGTGAGCAACTATCCCAATGAAAGGTAATGTCAATGAAAGTAAAAATGAAGTTTTAAACACGACACAGCAAGTATAAAAACTAAAACTGCTATATGTAGATCCAATAATGTTATAGTTTTATATTATCTTCATTGTGATGATGAGTTTAAAATATGTTTTCAAACAACTATAGAAATACCAAGAGTAAAAAAATATTTATTCTGTTTCATTTCTTTCTAAAGGAATGAATTTCCAAAATAGTTTTATAATATAAATGGTTTTCTTTTAAAAAGCCAGTATTCTTGGAAAAGAGCAAGAACAAGATAAAATCACTTGCTGTCCTACCCCCTCTAAACCAACCAATACATTTTCAAGTGCCTATGATGTGGAAGGCACTAAATTTAGTAATAAATTATTCATGTAATATTAGTAGCTTAAAGAACAAATGACTATATTTCACATTACTTAAGTCTGTCAAAAAGAAGTGTACCTGTATAAGCCAATCAATCGCATTTTATCATTTACTTAGACTGAGATTTCACTTCTTTTCTTTAAATGTTCTAAGCTCTATCTGCGTTGGAAAATCAAATCAAATCAAAAGTCTTGATTATATTCAGCCAGCCTCCCTTCCTCATTATAACATGAACAATGAAAGTGAGTTAAACATTCTCTTTCGAACTGAGAAACTGAATGGATTAGATCTTTTGGTTTGGGTTCAATTAAGTTCAAGTATTCACCACAGTTGAATTATTAAAGTCAAGTACTCGAGAAAAATAAATAAAGGCAATAATAGCTAAACATATGATTCTATATTTGGGTTGCAAGAACCAAAGCAAATGCAAATACACACATACACACACAAACACAAAAAAAAACAAAACAAAAAAAGCATCACTAGGCATTTTTATTAGCATAAAGCAATAATATTGATAATCAGAATACTTGTGATTAAATTACCTTAATTTTTTTTTTTTCCTGTCCTCTAGGAAAGATAGAAATTCACAGCATTAAAATCCTGATTAAGCAAACATGGGTGTAAATTGAGTAAAACACAAATACTGATATTTTTGTAGGTTTAGTCTCATTAAGAAGGGGCCTCCCTTAGGAACATGAGAAATCCATATTGCTTAGGACTTTAGTACTAATCATGTTGGGTTCTGAAATCAGGGGAGATTTTGCAAATGGAAATGCAGTCGATTCTCATTATTCACAACAGTTATATTCTGTGAAGTCACTGCAAACAGTGATATAGCAAATACTGAATCATTGCTCCTAGAGGAATACAGGGTTAGTTTCCCACAAGCCTCTGGTCACAACAATGTCTCAGCTTCTCAATACATAACCTTGCTTTATGTGTGCTTCTGCTTAAAGATACTTCAATATATATTTTTGATTCATTAACATCTAATTCATAGCCAATAACACTATTACTCATGTCCAAACGCAGCTTATCTAACACAATTATTTTCTCCTTAAGGCACATCACAGCCTTCTTAAGCTTAGAAGCACTGGACAGCATTTCAGCTCTATGCTTAGGGGCCATTTTAAACAGCAAAATCACCAAGAAAAAAAAACACAAAAATGCAAAAAACATGGGAAAAGATTGAAAAAGGACACTTGTTTATTGTATAAGAGCTGAAACAAGAACCCAGAGCCCTCAGCTGGGAATATGCATGTTGGGCAATTTAAATTTTTTTACCACTTTGCGCATGTGTGTGAATAACAATGAAAGCACAGCAATTATTGAATTTGACGTTAAAAAAAAAAAAAAATCAGTTGCTCTGGAATCAATTCCAACTGATGGCAACTGACCCTAGATGTGTCAGACTAGAATTGTGGTCCATAAGGTTTTCAATGGCTGGTTTTTTGGAAGTAGACAGCCAGAACTTTTGTCTGAGGTGCCTCACGGTGGACTTGAACCACCAACCTTTCGGTTAGCAGCAAAGTGCATTAACTGTTTGCATTACCCAGGGACTCTCATTTTGGGGTTACAAATAAATTTTAGCAAGAAGGTGAATTCTTGAATATAGAATCTGTGAAAAATGAGGATTGACTGCAATGTATTTTTCATAGAAAAGTGCAAGGGAGGTAGATAGGGACAGCAGTGTTAAAGCTTTTTCCTTAATGATTCCTCCCATTAACCTAAATAGTGATATATCAACACGCATTTTGAGAAGTCGTTCACCTCTTCAGGAGATTTATAGGATATGTCTTAAGCCTTACTACAAAATAAAAGCAATAATTTGACAAAATGCTAAAAATAGAAATTTAAAAAGTGACATCTCAAAAAAAAAAATCTTAAAATGCAGGAAGTGTTTTCCATGAATAAGCAAAGTAAATATTCCCAAAATGAGTAAAATACGTCATCATTAATAGATCATTGTATATCTGAAATGAAAAATACGTCACTTCTAATAGCCTAAGAAAAATAATATTTCAACAATTTAGAAATCAAACCCTACACTGGTATTGACAGTCATGGTAAGAAACAAGTACAGTACAACAAACTATTGAGAGCTATTTATAGATTTAAAAACACTTCCCATTCTTTCAACAAAATTAATGACATAAAAACCAAGTGCACTGAATTATCATAGTCATCTTTTCACAGAGAAAAATACCAATGCAGGTTAACAGGATTCTGAAAAGATTCACCACTATATTTATAAATTTTAATTTAAACCTTATAATGCAGACAAAAAGCAGAAAAGAAATCTTGGAATAAAAGATAAATTTTACTTTTTCTTTTTTAAGTTAAAAACAAAACAAAACACTAAAACCCTGAATAACACTTATAATTAAAAAAACACAAAAATGTGCCAAGAATTCATCCGATCAGTTGTAATGAAGTTTGCTTATCAATATCCCACTTTTTAATCAAATTCTCTATTATGAGGAGGACTTCTGGTTGCTTTTTCTTGTAGGATAAGGAGTTGACTTAGATGCACCCACCCCATTGTCATTTTGATCATCCATATGACATTCATTACATCTAAAACAATACAACTACCAACCCAGGAATATTGGGTTAGTAATCCAATCCTGATGTAAGCTTTTGTTGCATACACACGATATATCAAGTAATAAAAATTAGGTATTACAGCAATCCGCACGATGAAAAACATCACTGTCATGAGTACTCCATTGATGATGTAAGCTTTAGAAGACTTAGAATACTTCAGAGTTTTAAAGAACCATCTGGAAAAAAATTAAAGAAACATCATATTTATTCTGCATCTCTGAGGATTAACCATTTCAATTTTAGTTTTGAAAATTCAGTGAACATACCCCAATGATCAAAAACATGGCAAGGATGTCCTGTCTCGCTAATTCTATTCAATACTGTACTTGAAGTCCTAGCTAGTGCAATAAGACAAGAAAAAGAAAAGGTACATAGATTGAGAAGGAGGAAATAAAACCATCTACATCTGCAGATGACATAATTGTCTATGTAGAAAACCAGAAAAGAATCTATAAAAATAATAACATCCTGGAGCTAATAGCAAGTACAGCAGGGTCACATAATACAAGGTCAATATTGAAAAGTCAGTTGCTTTCTTATATTCTAGCAGTGAGCAATTGGAAGATGAAATTTAAAAAAATATTTACAATACCACCAAAAAATAAAATACTCAGGTATAAATTTAATAAATTATGTACATGGTCTACATGTGGAAAACTATAAACACTGATGAAAAATCAAAGAAAGTCTAAATATATGGACAAATACTTATATTCATGGATTAGAAAAGTGAATAGTATTAAAATGTCAGTTCTCTTCAACTAGATCTATAGATTCAATGTAATCCCAAACAAAATCCCAGCAATATTTTTAGTAACATCAAATCCAAGGCCATTGCCATTGAGTTGATACTGACTGATGGCAACCCTATGGGACAGAGTAGAACTACCCCATAGGATTTCCAAGGATCAGCTGGTGAATTCTAACTGCCAACCTTCTCTGGTTTGCAGCTGTAGCTCTTAGCCACTGCACCACCAGGGCTCCTTTTTAAAACACATATTTAAAAAAAAAGTTCTAAATTTATATGGAAAGAGAAAGGACCCAGAATAGCCAACACAATACTAGAAAAGAACAAAGTTTACTCACTTTCAAGACCTACTATGAAGCTATTTTAATCAAGATAGCATGGTATTGAAAAAAGAATAGACAAATAGATCAGTGGAACTGAACAAAGAATCTAGAAATAGACCCACACAAATATACTCAACTGATTTTTGACAAAGGCGTAAGCAATTCAGTTGAGAAAGACCAATCTAATAGTCTTTTCAATAAATGGTGCTGGAGAAATTGGATGTCCATATGCAAAAAAAAAAAAGAACAACAAAAATGAATCAAGGCAGTGAGCTCACATCTTACACAAAAATTAACTCAAAGTGGATCATAGACCTAAATGTAAAATGCAAAACTATAAAACCTCTAGAAGAAAACCTCTAGGAGAAAATATGCATGATCTCGGGTTTGGTGATGATATTTTAGAATCAACACAAAATCAACATCCATGGAGAAAATTTTGATAAATTAAAACTTGCTCTGTGAGGAGGCGGGGCCAAGATGGGGGAGTAGTCAGATGCTTCCTGTAGTCCCTCTTACAACAAAGACCCGAAAAAACAAGTGAATCGATTGTATATGACAATCTAGGAGCCCTGAATATCAAAGATAAAGCTGAGGAATTGGACTGAGTGGCAGGGAGAGGGCGAGATGGTTCAGAAGCAGAGAGGAGTTGCAAGACCTGATCTGGCAGGAGCCGGCACCCTTCAGGCCGGATCAACTCGCACAGTGAGGCAAGAAGTGGCACTTGGGAGGCATTTTTCCACATCGGGAGGGACCTAGCGGCAGAGAGTCTACTTGGGCATCCAGAACCAGTGAAAAGCAGTGCCTAATTGGCAACAGGAAAGCACTTGCATCTGGTCTACCATGAGAATCAAAAAACACTCCCTTTGGGAAAAACCTCTCTCCCATTTACCTCAACTCTCCCTGCTCTGCACCTGTCCCAGGTCAGCTTCAGTTATTGCCGAGTCCCCTGGGCCAGAAGTAGGACCCGTCATGAACCATGAGCTATTCTCCCAGTCTTGGAGAGGGAACAAATTAACACACAGGGAAAAAAGAATCTGCTGGCTCCCCTAAGCCAGGAACTCAGGGTAGGCACAGCTCCTTTGGCTAGGCACAGGCATAAGGGGTCCACGGACTTTGAATGCCTTTCACCCCTGCATAGATCTGTGCAGGTCCATTTCAACAGCACAGGCTGTTATTACCACAGTACAACAGGTTATATACCTGAAGTCTAACTTCAGCTATTTCAGCTATATGGTGAAGTGGTAGGTTTGTGACATTTGACACTGCTCTGCCCATTAAGCAGGGTCCTAATCTACCCACATCAGGGGCATGAGGACGGGTGGCTTCACCCACACCACGTAGCTACCCAGGACGGGTTCAAGAATAAGTGGTGACCCCCAGTCCTTACAGCCAACAGCATTGGGTGCTCATAGTCTGGCTGCAAAACCCACCCATCTATGTGCTCTAGGGAACAGGGACATGCTTTCCTCCCAGACACTCGGGCAGCTGTCAGCCCCGCTTTGCTCAGTGCATGAACCCCTACTGCAGCCAGATACCTTTGCCTACACCAATCACCCATGCCTGTCTAGGGCTGTAGGTGAGAGGCTGCACCACACACTTCGAGACCAACTACCTGGACACTTGAGCTGAATTCATACAAGAAAAGTAAACAGACTCCTGGGCTCACATACCTAGTAACAGCTCGAACCACCTGGTGATAGGACATTAGAGCTTCACAGGTGCCAATAAACTAACTCACACAAGCAGCCAATTTGAACATATCAAAACAAAGCAAAACAAGAAGCTAGGACACAGCAAATGTAAAATAAATATAACTTATTGATGGCTCGGAGACAACGGTCACTGTCAAATCACATAAAGAGGCAGACCATGATGGTTTCAGCAAGCTCCCAAAATAAAGAATCAAGAAATTTTCCAGAGAAAGATATTTTCTTAGAACCACCAGAAGCAGAATACAAAAGATTAATATACAGAACTCCTCAAGATATTTTGAAGGAGATCCTGTAAAACACAGAACATGCTAAGGAACACACAGACAAAGCAATAGAGGATCTTAAGAAGGTTATTCAAGAGCATAATGACAAATTTAATAGCCTGCAAGAATCCGTAGTGAGACAGCAATCAGAAATCCAGAAGATTAACAATAATATTTCAGAATTAGACAATGCAACAGAATGTCATAGGAGCAAAATTGGGGCAATAGAAGTCAGAATTAGATTGACGATAAAGCACTAGACACCGACTTATTTGAGGAAAAATAAAAAAAAAAATTTAAAATGAAGAAACTCTAAGAATTATGTGAAACTCTGTCAAGAGGAATAACGTATGAGTCACTGGAGTACAAGAAAGGGGGGAGGCTAACAGAAAATGCAGAGAGAATTGTTGAAGATTTGTTGGCAGAAAACATTCCAGACATAGTGAAAAATGAGAACATATCTATCCAAGATGCTCATCGAACCCCACATAAGGTAGATCCCAAAAGAAAGTCACAAAGACATATTATAATCAAACTTGCCAAAACCAAAGATAGAGAATGTTAAGAGAGGCTAGGGATAAACAAAGTCATCTACAAAGGAAAGTCAAT